ATTTCTTAGCGCAGCATGTTGTGATCACGTGAGCGCTGCATGCTGGATCCATGCGCTGCTGGATAGAAACACTGGAGTGGAGTCAGTGGACTTCTGGATTGGACTGCTAATATCGGAGCGCTTATATCGGATATTTTTTATGCAGGCCGATAAAATCCGATACTTGTTTTTTGGCTGATATCGGACCGATATCCGATATCAATATCGGATCGGGATACCCCTAGCTGAAATGCAGCAGTCCTCTTCGAGTGCTCGAGATCAGTTTTGAAATTAGGCGACCCAGTTCAAGTCGAGCACGTGGTGCAACTTGAAGGTTATTGTCGGCCACTTGATGGAGCATTTTGGAGTTCCTCCCTCTCTGTCATGGCCAGGGCCGGCAGGCAGGCCTCCAAGTTCAGCTCCATCATTGTTGGTAATGTAGTGGCTTGGAACAGACAGAGCAATGCAGCAGGACGTCCTTGGTCAAGTCATTTATAGGCTGTTAATACAGAAAGTTTGAAGAATGTAGCTCCGGGGGCTGAAGTATTCCTCGCCTTTGTCAGACTCTTAAGTGTCCAGCGCTGCCAAGATCATTTCAGAGCTTTGACATTTTGAGGACATCGAGGGGATTTTAGAMTAATTCACTGATAAATCAAAATTATACCCAAAGTGGAAATGGTAATTGTATTAGAATGTGCCTTTTATCTCTGTTCCTCCGGAAACCAAATTGTGCTGCTATTTTTGTATGGAGTTCATTGTGACATCTTTTGTTTGGACTGAATACTCTTGTCATAATTTAATTTTGCTCTCCCTCTCCTCTCATTGATTATTCTGCTGTAGGTGTTGGTATCGGTGCAGTCCCTGATCCTAGTGGCTGAGCCGTACTTTAATGAGCCTGGCTACGAGCGCTCCCGCGGCACCCCCAGCGGCACCCAGAGCTCCCGGGAGTATGACGGCAACATCCGGCAGGCCTCCGTCAAGTGGGCCATGCTGGAGCAGATCCGTAACCCATCTCCCTGCTTCAAAGAGGTAAAAGTCATGGTTTACCCAAGACGCTTTTATCATTCATGTGCTGTATTATTTAAAGGCAAATCCTGCTCTCGTGATTATTCTGAAGCAGTTTGTGTGACAAACAAAATTATTTGCAGGCATCTACAGTGGTTTGCAAAAGTATTCATACCCCTTGAACTTTTCCATATTTTGTCACATTACAACCACAAACATAAATATATTTC